GCATAAAAGCTGTCGCATGTAAACCATGAATGGCCAGTTTCATGGAAAGAATCCATATCTCATCATTTTAGTTGCATAATACAGAAGCCTGGGCCTTTAACAACTCACTTTCGCTGACTCCACCGTGTCATAACAACTTAAGCATCAAAATGTCGAATAAAATTGACTCGTTTCCGGCTAACGTGCTTACCCGGTGTGACCGAAGAGAGGCTTAAGTCGCAGGTTCGTTTTCTGCTTTCCGCAGGCGGCATGGTGGTGGAGCGAATAGCAGAGGTGTAGTTTCCTTCTCACTTGCGGAGGAGTGCGGGCTCCAGTCCGCCAACTTTGTGATAAAGATTAGTTAAATCCACGGAGAAGCTGGCTTTCGCTGGTCGGCAATCGTGCCAAATTACATGGAGCTATAACTGATGAATTTTACTCATTTCGGCAAAACGTTGTTCAACCCAAGTTAAGGTCATACATACGCAACGTCCTTAGTGAGAACTGGCAAGGCTGCCTGCCCCCCCCCCCCCCCCCCTCCCCTTCGAATAATTGTTTGAAGCTGGATCTGTCGTTTTGGATTACTGTGATGTCACAATAAATGGCTTAACCGCGCGAAAGTGGGCTCACGCCAAGTGTCTCTGATGTTCGAGTCTCAGCATTGATATGAGCATGTAATCATTCATTATGATGGGAGCAAAATAGTTGAAAATATATAGACAAAGTTGTTAGTGATCAATAACGGCTTCAGCTCGATTTATACGGCATCAAATTTTTATTGCGAACTACACGGTAAATTTATAGCGCAAACTTGCAAACCAATGCGGGGTCCGATTTTTCCCCTATAGTTGAATGCAAATTAACACGCGCCCGGGTGGCCGGTTGGATGCCCTTCGCTCAGGTGGAGTGAGTTAATTTGATCATCCTGAGATTTCGGGAACTAAGAGAGCTAGAGAGACTAGATTTGGAGGGTGTGTTGACTGTACGAGAACTCTCTTAGGTCAAAGTTTCAAGGTTCCTAGGTCATAACCTCCGGGTCAGGTACGGTCAAGCAAGGTCAACTTCCATATTGGTCTCCAGGGGGCCCCTTAGAACCTAGATAATTGTTCTAAGCAAAATATCACACGCTTAGTTAAGGTATGTGACCTTGTTCGACCTTTCAGAGGTTATGATTACCAAAATTATATAAAACTGCTTTGAGTTTTGCTTTTGGATAACCGACAAAGATTACGCTAAACAGCATGTTTCTAAAAACAAAGTGTTGACCTGGGTCATTTTAGGTCAGTGACATATTTTGATATATCAGAAGTCCATGGAAGGTGTAAAATGCAGTACCTGCTATCAACATATTCAAAGTGAGCACCAGAAACCAGCCCATACAGCAAGCCCGAGAGCAATAAAACAGGTCGGTTTTGACCTTGGTCTGACCTCATACCTGATACTAGGTCAATGCTACACTTGTTTATTCAATTGTGGTATTGCCTAAGAAAATATCTCAGAGATCTTTGGCTTCGTCTAACACACCGTTGTTTGATCGGATTGAGCGATTCCCTAGAACGTGCCTTCGTTTTAACCTTGGCCTGACTTTGACCTGCCATAGGTCAGCGACCTAACAAGGTACATCTAAATTTTTGATGTCAGAAGATCCGCTAGTCAATTTTCTACAGCTATGCAAAATTCAGCGCGGCTACGCCGCGCCGTTCGGAAACCATTCCCGGAAAACCTTTGGAAGGGGGGTCAATTGACCCCCCACACGAGTGCGTGTTAAAGCGCAAGGAAAAAAATGTCTATGAAAGCTGGTTTTACGTCGAGTCTGTAACTTCAATCCTGCAGTAGGATGGAAAACGACCAGCCATGATCCAAAGCAATGTCGAGCTGACAAATAAATACCAAAAAGAAAAGATTTCCGTCGCTCATTTGTGATATATTCACAAGTCAATCAGCACAGTTTCCGGGCTAACGACTGATGAACGGGTCATCATTGGTCTCAGGGGATCAAATCCTCCGGACAATTATAAAACGCATGTCAAAAGATCTGACATTGAAAAGGGCGTTAATTTGACCTGACCTGTATTGAATGTGGATCTGATGTCACAGTTGTGATTAGGGAGAGGTAAATGTCTCATTTTTTAGTTATGCATAATTTTTGTGTTTTTCATGCTGTCTTTATCGGTACAAAACCTCCCGGCATACCAAAAATCAATATAATTGTTTATTTATGATGTTATCATCCCCGCTGAAAATGATACATTATGGCATTTTTAACGCCGAAAGGGACAATTTCTTGTTGATATCAATTGCAAAGCAATAGAATGCTCATTTGGTTCGGCAGCTTTATTGCCAGAAGCGGTCACACCACTTCGAGTTGGACGTGTTGGGAGGTCATTAATATTGTTATTTTACCATTTCAAAACTCCCCCGAGGTTCGCCACGGAATTATCAGGTACGCATTAGCTTGTCATTTGTTGTGCGTTCAATTGGACGAGAATGTAATATTTTTAGCAGGAGCGAGTGGAAGCAATTGATAATTAAAAAGTAATTAGAATCAAGAGCAGGGCATTTTAGGTTCCCCAGAGTCGGATGGTGGATGGAATGATCAGATGTTCCGCTGACCAAGCCAACAAAGGTACATGCTTGGTACTCCGTGCAGGGTGAATGTCGTTCTCAAGGACGCATAGGGATAAGAAAGCTTTTGCCGAAAGATAATGGCTGCAGTCCTGATTTTGCGGTAAAAATTGGAGAAATTTGCACTCGAATCTGCAATTTAATCCTTGCTTCGAAAAAAGATCGAAAACCAAGGTGAGCCCTGGAGAATTGTGTTCCGAATTTTATAATCTCGCAAAGCAACCCTCCCAATCCTTGGACACATGAAAGCTGAGCCCAACTGATATCCATGGCGTATCTTAAAAAGCAACCATAAGAAATTAAAAGGCGTCCCAAACGCGTATGCCCATACGCGGATCCTTCGGCAAGGGTAGCGGACATGACGCAACAGTCAGCACCAGCAGCGACCAAAGCGGTTTCTGACCATTTATGTTAGGGTGCAGGGTTCCACTCGGCCCTCGGCGGGTAGTCTTTCCAACCTTATCACCAAACCGCCCCGGTCAGAGTGCTGCAACTTAGCTGGGTGCTGGCTGGCGGAATAATAAAGCAGCTTGCTCAGGTTATGACTCGCTCGTATTGTGCCCTCGTTCACCGCCAATAGCTGAGTCTAGTGCGTCTGCATGCACAGAATGATTTTGTTTTCGAGAAAAATACTTGCGTCTCAGCATACAAGTGAAGTGCATATTGAAGATACCATATGCTTACCTCCGCTCGAGTGGGGGTGAAGGGTTAATTTGACCAGATCTAAGATCTCAATAACCAAGATAGCTAAATACACCAAACTTACAAGGCAGGTTGGTCTGTATGTGAACTTGCTTGTATCAAAATTTGAGGTTGCTTGGTTATGACCTTGGGGTCAAATAAGATCAAAGAAGTTCGAACCGTAGGTTGGTGTCCCAAGTGCCCCAGACCTCATGCAACCGCCGTGAAGATAGACACCTGTTCAAAGCAAGAGCTCAGTAGTGCTCACATAAGTTAAGTGACCTTTTAGCCCATTGTTAGGTAAATGTGACCAAATTCCTAAGAGATTGTTCTTATTTTACTATCCGAATACTCGCCGGGTATTACGATATGCGGTACGTTCCTAAAAAAAAACGCTTGACCTGGGTAATTTTATGTCAGTGACTTGTTCTGATGTTAAGAATTTCATGGAAAATGTCATGCGTTCCTTGCCATTAATAAAGCCAAAATGAGCACCAGAAAGTTTCCCATGAATCAAGCTGTCGAGTAAAACAGATTAGTTTTTACCTCGGTCTGACCTCTATACCTGAGCTTAGTTCAATGGAATCTGTTTCAGTTCTTAACTTAATTGACTTATTACCCGATAAACTATCTCAGATAAGCATGGCTTCGTCTAACACTTCGTTGCATCACATTGAACGATTCCTGAGAAATGCTCTTCACTGACAGCCATGGCCTGATTTTGGCCTGCCATGGGTCAGCGACCTTACAAGGCACATCTGATTTTTTGCATCAAAAGATCTGCCATTCAATTTTTATGGCTGTGCATAGTTTGACGTTACGCCGCGCAGTTTGGCAATTATTCTGGAAAACATTCAGGGGAGGGGTTAATTTGATTCCCACCGGAGCGTGTGCTTCATCAAAGCAAGGTAAAAGGCCGATGAAGCACGTCAACACCGATTCAAGGCGGCCGCAGCAGCTGCAACATATATGGCCGCTGCGAGGAAGAACCGCCAATTAAACTTTTTTGTTTCTGATAGCGGAAGACTTTAATGTGCCATGATTCTACCAAAACACAGCGTGTGTATTTCAAAGTTGTAAAGCAATATAACCGAACTGCACTATGCCCGCATTCGCTACCCAGCGGGATTGCCTGATTTGGATATGCAGCGAATGCAAGCGGGGCGATGCAGTGATGAATCGGCGTAGTTTTAGGTGCTAAAACCAGGGTATGTTTCCTCATATGATCGTTGTATATGTGATTTTTATCATATCGATTAAATAGGAGGAAATAGGAATTAATGAAAACTTTCCACCCAGGAGTGCCCATGTTTTTCTAAACAGCTTTTCTATACCGCTATTCCAGCGTCCCAATCTTCGCAATGTTCCGGCCCCAGACATTACGATCCAGCACTCAAACTTAAAGTTAAAGCAGATCAAATGCGCTGCAATGTCGTCGCATCGATTCCTTTGGTGCACACTCAAGGCACAGAAAGCTCCCGTAAGGCGCACATAGGACACTTCAAAAGGCTCTGAAACCGCGTCCGTAGCTTACGATACCCGAACAGACAAGCGCATACGCGCCGCTGCGGCGGGACCTGACCTTGTCCGGTCGAGGTGTGACCAAGAGCCGCCCCCCCCCCCCCTCAGAGGGGTGGGGATGGGAGTTGACCCACCTGGGGCGGGGGTACGGCCGGGTATAAGGAGGGGCGCCGACATCTGCTGACCACCAGTCGCCAGCGTCCGGTGCCCGCTCTACGAGCTCGCTGTCGTCTTCCGCAGATCACACCCCGCCACACCTACTCAGGTGAGAGGACACGCCTGGTGAGCCCCGGCCGACCCGGCGGCTCCAGCCGGCGTCAGAGGGGTTGGTAAGGCCCACATCCACACCCACGGCCTACTACGTGATCTGCAGTGGCGAGCAGGTAGGCTGGTGGTCGCAGCGATATCTAAGTTGAAGAAACTGGATGAGGAACTAGACTGGGGTACACTTGCATCACTGCATTTTACTTCATGGCTTTTTGAGCGGGAAGGAGAAGGTTGAATAAAATGCTAAAAGATATATTTATTTATGTCCTAAACACTTTTGCTACTCGGAGGCATTTGCTGCCTGCGACTTTTCGTTGACTCATTCCTCGTATTCCCCGGACTATTTTTACTGAGCACGTGCGGGGATCAACTTTGCTCGGCTGGATAGCACGATCCTTAACTAAAATGAAAGTACTATCTCGCGCAGTCACTGACTTACTTCTAAACCAAATCACAAAACACCTCGTATTTTCACACCCGTACGGCAATGGCACCGCAGGCATGAGTATCGATGAAGCAGTCGCACTCGTCCACGGCCGGCGCGCTGCAGCGTGCAGGAGGCGCGGCGCGGCCGGCCGGCGCTCCTGGCCAGAGATCACGAGCGGGCTGAGCGCAGCAGCCGGACTCGCCCGCTCGTGTCCTGGCGTGCTCGGCTCGCGGCCCGGCTCAGCCCGCTCTGATCTCCGGTTGCAGGATGCGCTGCCTGGCCCTGCTCCTGCTGCTGGTCGCCTCGGCGACGGCGTTCGGCGGCGGCGGCGGCGGCGGCGGCCGACGGCCACGCCGCTGCCCGCGTCCCGCCGTCGTCACCGCCTACGCCGTGCAGTACGTCACGCGCACAGTGGTGCAGGACGTGGTGCGCACGGACGTGCACTTCCAGACGCAACAGGTGGTGGCCACCCGCGTCGTGCCCATTGAGGTGGTGCACACAAGCGTGCAGGTGGTGCCGACGCACGTGTTCCGCACGGAGGTGGCCACCATCGCCCTGCAGGCAAACACTGGCCACTCGGAGGAGGGAGGCGAGGGAGCGGACGGTGGCGATGAGGGAGGTGACGATGGAAGCGAGGAGGGAGATGACGATGGAAGCGAGGACGGAGGAGAGGCAGAGAGCGCAGGCGATGCCAGCGCTGATGTGAACACCGGGTATCTTGGAGCCGAATAGGAACCGAGCAGGAGGCTTCGTCCTCCACGCTGAACGGCCGGCCCGAGCACACCGCAGGGAGACAGACCAGAGGACATCACTGCCGACCTGCTGCCGGGCCAGCTGTCGTCACGCGCACACTCGCCGGAGAGGGTTCGCCCCGCGTCGCCAGCGGCACGGGAGACCCAGCAGCGGCGCCAGTGGACGGTTCACATTGAGCTGGGACGGTGACACTGTCTGCCGCTCCGCAGAGAAAACGGGTCCTTAGTCAGGGGTCACTCAGGGTGATGTGCTTTCAAAATATTTTAGTATTTATTTATGCCAGAAGAGGTTTGAGAGGTACCATTGCTCGGTCATGCCCACAGCCACAGATGTGCTTTGAACTGCATTTATTTCAGGTGCTTTCCTTCCTTGTTGTCTATAAAACCAGCGCGTGGGTGCTGTTCTCAGTATCATGACTTTGCAGTGCTGTGTGAAACCTAAATAAAACCGAGAATTTCACACCAAACATCTGGACTAGCTGAGGTTTGAGCGATTAGATAGTCCTGCACTGAACACAACTGACAGCAATGTACCAGCACGCATATCTTAAGGTGAGTGCACAGTGAAAAGATTGTGTTTCCTCTGGGGTTTGCTTCGCCGTAGTGAACTCTATAAACTGTTCGGTGCGTGCGATTACTCGTGGCTAGTCCTCGTAACCCTACCACAGCTAACTACAATCTTGTCGCTTGTTGACCAGATTTTCTCACATGTTTTTGCCGTGCGTTTTTCATATAGTTGGACTTGCATGTGCTATTATCGTGCATGCGGATAATAGTATACCTCGTCATCCTTCATCATATCGACATCTGCCACCTGATCCAAATGCTTGCTCTCGGAGTCGCATCAATAGTTTCCAGCATATGAGAGGAGACAGAGGGCCCAAGGTTGGAATTCTGATGTGATACAAGCGCCGAGCCTTGCTTTTGCTCGATTTCATCAAATGCGGCTTACCTACGGGAGTACAGAAACGCAGACATGTGTACGGTCAGATCCCGGGATCCCCGCCTCCAGCTCATACTCCCGATGGGTACCTGACGCGTGCCGTCCTGCTGCTGTTCGTCAGCTGTCTGGTCCCTGACGAGTGCCGTCCTGTTGCAGCATGCGTCTCCTGTCGCTGTTTTTTACCTGCCTGGTCCCTGACGCGTGCTATCCTGTTGCAGCATGCGTCTCCTGCTACTGCTCGTCAGCTGTCTGGCCGCGGCCGCCGCCGTGCTGCTGCCGGCCGGGGGCGGGGGCGGGGGTCGCGCCCGCTGTCCTCCGCGCCGAGTCATCACCGACGTGGTGCCCGTCTACGAGACAGTGGTGCAGACGGCGTACCGCACCCGCGTGGTTCCCGTCGTCCGCACCGTGCTGGTCACCAACACCCTGGTCGTGCCGTCACGGGTGTACCGCACGGTGGTGCAGACCCAGTTCGCGCCGACCGTGGTCATCCGCACCGGCGTCACGCAGGTGCAGCAGCAGGAGGCGCAGGCGTACACGGCGAACTAGCCGTCACCAGCTGTCACCAGCCGTCACCGGCACCAGCGACGGCACTAGCCCTGCTGTCAACACCAGGTGGCGGGTCCGATGCGTTGCAATGACAACATCCGGAGCGGCGACGAAGGCACAGCCGCGCCAAAAATGTGCGCGTGCGCTGACTGAAGTCCGGCTCGGTCTGGCATCATGGCGCAGGGTGGGGGTGCCCAGTGTGCTCTGGTGCGTGTAGGTGGTGCCAAACTGCATACCTGACCCTCACTGACGGCGTGAGCACGACTTTGCTTCGGACTGATGGGACGAAATTGATGTGTCTTGTGCATAACGGGTATGTGTTGACCGAAAAACTGTACGTATTTATATAATTGCGCTGTTTATCGAAACAAAAAATGTAGACGTGTTGAGATGTTACATTTATCAAGAGAGCTTCGTATTCGTATTGACATTATAATACATTTCAGTCTGGAACATACAATGTTGCTCGAACTCAACACCAGTAGCGTTGGACGTGCTGATGCCTGTGAAGATGCTACGCTGTCTTCAGATTTCATCTTCGGAGTTCACATTTTTCACTGTGCGGTAAAGCAACATTCCTCACAACAGATACAGATAACAGAAAAGGATGTCGAAAATTGCAACAGATAGGGATGTCGAAAATACTGATAACTTCAGGCTGATATAATTATGAGCATCTGGAAGCCAAAGCTTGACCTTTTCTGATATAAGTCGGTCAGTTTCCAATGCAACAGCAAACGATATGCGCGGTTGTTTTCAGTTTACTGATTAGTACTGTTGTCGCCAGGTCAAGTGGAATCTCAAGTGGTGGCTTTAAAATACTCTCCTCGATATACCTTTTTCCATTTTTGCGGGCGTGTAGCTCAGAAACTAGACGGACTTAGATCTTAAAAAGGCAGGATTGTGAACAGCACCGAAAGGTCTTCAAGATGATAATCTCAATTCAAAACCCCCAAGTTATATCGTGGAACACTCCCTTCGAGACGCCAAATCCTATTGCTTCTGAGCTTGACGCACGCAAACTTGTGCGGCGGCAGGCTATTTCGAGTCGCCGATTTGTAAGCCATCCAGAAATGCATTAGGCATAGAACCGTCACGCTAATGTCCTCACATTATTCGCCGTAATGTGTTCATGGAAACATAATTTGACTACCTAAACAGTCGTGTCTGCAGTACGACAGCACAAATTGTCCCACGATAGCAAGCAATTAATTGGCAAACAGCCAGCTTAACCTGCGACCGGCACGGGGTCTGAGACAACCGCGCCCGGCCGAGGGGAAAGGTCTCGTCAAATCATGAACAATTCACACAAAATGTGTGACCTGAGGCCAAATTCAGGGTCCCCAAAGGTCACGAAAAGTCAAACACGGTTGTTCCGAAAGATGCAGCTAAAGCCTGCGTTGACACGTCAAGACGGAAACGGAGGGCACGAAAGTGGGCGTTAAGACTATGGGGAGTTCATTCCGACCATTTTTGTTTCCTCACAGTCTGATGGAGATCACAGTCACGAGATCTGACCTGATCAGTACAGATTAAGTCATCGTTCAAAGTTGGTCTACCAGCAGCCTACATGAAAGATAATTTTTCAGCGATCTGCTTTTGACTATGTGCATTTTATTAGGTGTAGCTGTGCGACAAGAATATTGCAAACACAAAATAAGATTTAGGGCTAACATAGAGGTTCTCTGATGTCAACTTGAATGCTAACTTTGTCAATGTGACCAGTACAATCCTTTCTCTTTGGTCAGAAATAATGTATTGTACATCAACAGGGGTGTTGTCTACATTATACACAGCCCCTTCGATACTTGGCAGCGCATTTGCAACAAACTGAGAACAGACACGCCGTTACATGAAAATGGGCGTCATCAACTTTACAAAAACGATAAGAGGTGGCCACACGTATCGTACTCGTTCATCTAGCCTCTGCGCTACTGGCAACATAGATCATTAACCTTGGATGCCCTTATACCATTTTGAATATCCCCACACGACCTATTGTGACCTCAGTATGCATTAGAATGACATCTCAACATCTGTTCAATAATGTATTCGAATTCTGCGTTCAAAATTACTTCATAAAACTGCCTAGTGTGAGTTCATCATGCGTTTCCTCAAAGGGTACCCACAGATGTAGATTATGGCATGGGTGAAGGCCATGTGCTTTGTGGTCACATAATGGCTGTGTATGTGTTTGTTTTATTGACCCCATCTAAGAGTACCAAAACTGCACGAAACGTACAAATTCGCATTATTAGCGAAAAATAGCAAACTTGGTCTAGCTTCAAGTCACTGACCAAACATTTTCGAGAAAAAAAATATGAACTAAACAAACTGTAGGTACTATCATGCTTTATTACTATTGCAAGGTTGACCAATATCGTATGATCCGCAAAATTGTTATGTGTGGTCAAAGAGCTTTGGAGGTAAGCCTCTTTGACCTGAACTAGGTCACTGATCTGAGTAGATGAAAACTTTAACTTTGCACAGAGGATGTTAAATTGATACACGAATATGTACTGAAAATATCCTGCTACTGCAAGCGTTTGTTTTTTACCTATGTTCGAAAAACCGTAGGGGGAAGTTAATTTATTTCCGCCTGGGTGCGGGTTAAGCTGCTGATTGGCTGTATCAATCACAGACTGCATTGTGTGTTGGATAGCACATGCATTTGGGCAGTTGTATTAGTTTTGGCGGACGTAAGACTGAGAATAAAACAACTTTCGAATAGCGCCGTAATCGGGAATGAAAATACAAGCAGAAAACATGACGTCACGGAAAAATATACTAAACTTTCACGAGAAAAGCCAAAGTACTGGTACATACAGCAAGTAACTGGAATTAACTTGCCTAGAACACTCACGCCACCTTGCGGCGCGTAGAAGTACTGCAAGCGTCACACCGACCGCTATCGTAGCGGTTTTGACACGGTCATCATGGCAGGGGCTTTAATGTCATAAAAGCGCTCCATGATGTAATCAAACGACAACGCAATGAATAGTGTATTTACTTAATAGTGAAACTGTATTATTTAGAGCAGTCTTTTGCACTAAACAGCATACCAAAAGTCATAAGTAAGCGTCTGCCATCAAATCTGATGCTTGTCTCAATATATTTCTGTGTGGAACACTACCTTTCATACAGCGTAACGAGGGGAAGGTGGTTTTACCCAGCATGCCCAGTGCTAGGGGCACCACTTTCTAAAATTATTTGGCAGGCGCAGCTGAAAAGGTTTCTCTAACTGCCCCCGAGACCTAATTTCTCCCCGAATTTTGCCAGCCTGAATTTGCGTCCTCGGCGTTAAAACCAAAACAACTAATGTTTAGTGTTTCGTAAATTCAAAGATGTGTCCATGCCGATGAAGAAATACCCATTTCAAATTAATGTAAAGTGCCTTTTTGTCGAAAGCTTAGGATAGGGTGTGATCCACCGAAAAGATCTTTGTAACATTATATAAGGGATCACTTACGACTATCACTGTCAGTGATCGTGTTCTACAACCTCAACAGCCACGATTATGCAACAAATACACCCGCGTCTGTTGTCGAAAACATACATTAGACATTTATCTGGGCTACCCTGTGCTTTGAAAAGCTGCTGCGTTTTCCAGCCACATGCTCTTTATCCTAGTCAAGGCGTTAGCATTTAAAAACACCAAACATTTGCAGACTGGGTAAACATATGAAGGAGTTAGCATGACAAAAACATTGAATACCTTCAGGATACCATGACACTAGTAGTGATGTTTATATGTGCCTTCTGTCTAGTATACCACAGTTAAGATAGCTGCTCCGTATTTCTTTGTTCATTATCATTTCTTTGCTCATCTGCCGTGAGCGGCTCAGAGGAGCATTGGGAAAAACAATGTCATGCTGTCATTGGCGGGCTTGGGCCCCCCTGCGAGAAGGCAAAGTGACGCCCCTGCCCTTGGCTTAACGAGGGGAAGAGTGATTGAAAAGAGGCCGTAAATCACAAACCGTCGAGGTCACAAAGTGCAAATTTTAAAAGCATGCGTCCTAAGGATGCAAAGTCAGTTACTGAAAACTTCAACACCGTGGTCCAACCTGTTTAGACGTTATTTTGGGAAAATTGGAGGCACCTCCGAGGCTCCCTCGCAGGCGAGAGTTAAAAACCCCATTTTTTGTTTAGGATTCGATGGAATGAAATGATGGAACAATTTGATGGAAGGTTTCGTCTCGGTCATCTGGCCTCCTGTCGGCGTTATGAGAGCGCGTCCGGATAGCGCGGCGATCAAAGCCAGATAACGCAAATCGTGATCTGTCGTTTTCTTTGCTCAGACTGTTCGCGAATCGGTCGCTATCCCCCGCCCGCCCCGCCGTCCCGTCGTCTCCGCAACGTCTGTCCGCTCACGCGCCGGCGTGTCGCCGGACAGTGCACTGACCCGCCGGTGTGTCCGCCCGGAAGAGTGCACTGACCCGTCGGTGTGCCCGTCCGGACAGTGCACTGACCCGTCGTGTGTCTGCCTGGGCAGTGCACTGACCCCCGGTGTGTCCTGCCGGACAGTGCACTAATCTCCCGGTGGTGTCCGCCCGGAGAGGTGCATTGACCCGTCGGTGTGCCCGTCCGGACAGTGGCACTGACCCGTCGTTGTGTCTGCCGACAGTGCCTGACCCGCTGGTGTTCTGCCCGGACAGTGCACTGACCCGTCGGTGTGTCCTGCCGGACAGTGCACTGACCCCCGGTGTTCTTGCCGGACAGTGCACTGACCCGCCGGTGGTGGTCTGCCGGACAGTGCACTGACCCGCCGGTGTGTCTGCCGGACAGTGCACTGACCCTCCGGTGTGTCTGTCCGGACAGTGCACTGACCCGTCGGTGTGCCCGTCCGGACAGTGCACTGACCCGTCGGTGTGTCTGTCCGGACAGTGCACTGATCTCCCGGTGTGTTTGCCCGGAGAGTGCACTGACCCGTCGGTGTGCCCGTCCGGACAGCGCACTGACCCGCCAGTATACCTGCAAACAGTGCACTGACCCACCGGTGTGTCCGCCCGGCTAGTCCACTGACCCGTTGGTGTTCCCGTCCGGACAGTGCACTGACCCGCCGGTGTGCCCGTCCGGACAGCAGCATGAACCTTCTGCATTCCAGCTCGGCAGTATGCAAATCAGCCGTGGGTCGCGCCCTGGCGGCAGCCGCCGGATGCAGGGGTGCGCAGCCCACCAATCCGTGGCCATCCCACCCAGACAGCTGCAATCTCCGCTGGTATGCCTGACCGGTCAGAAGGGGCAGGGGGCGGTCCGTACGGCCACCGGACCGCGCCGCACGACGGCCAAGTCACGCTCCGCTCCGCCAGCCGATAGTGCCCCGCTGGGGGGGGGGGGGGGGAGGAGGGACGGGAAGCGCGCGGCCTCACGCCTCGCGCCGTGCCGAGCGCAATCTCCCCCCCCCCCCCTCCCCACCTCCCCTCCTGCCGTCGCCCGAGGCGGCGGCGGCGGCGGCGGCGGCGGCCGGTGCGCGACGCTGCACGTGGGGCGTGGTCAGAACGGCGCGGGCGGCCGTGCAGGGTGCAGGGGCGTCCGGCACCGAGCACTCCAGACGGAGCAGAGACCGGCCGGCGCAGCGCGGACAACGAGGCTGGGAGGTAAAGGCATAGGCTGGGCGCCGCACCTCGGGTGACGTCGATTGGACCTGAGCCGCCTTCTAAAATGGACTTGAAGGTTTTTGAAATGATTGGGATGCACTTGTATTTTTCAACTAGATCATTAAATATAAATATACGAGAACTAAATGAATATGAGATAAAAATGCGATAAAAATGAGAACATGGAGGTTGGGGAATTCCACCTGATTGAGGATCAATGCTATGGGCTTTAAATAGTGGTTTTGGGCAATAAAACATGTACCAGCTCCTACCATCAACAGCAGGATGTGCTACGTTGACTTGTATGATGTTGTGCCGTTTCCACCCATGTCACGATACGCGCCATGCAAATGTGCGGGAGGTCGGGGAATGTTTTCATGTTGTGCGGTCTGGGTCTGCGACGGAGTGCAGAGTTTTGACTTAGATCCACTCAGCACACCACAACGGCTGCTGGGATGCAGTGCAAAGGTTGCGTCAGGCCGAGACCTCACATGCTGTTCTCCAATCGGCAAGTCTCCCGCCGGTCCACCGTTGTAAACCACCTCGAAACACCCGGTGCGACAATGCGAAAAATTAAGCAGGTGTAAAGAAAGCTATCGCGGGGAGCGGATCGGAGAGCGCTGTGCTCGTTATCATTGTGTCTTAGATGTGTAAATGCTGGTCACCTCCCCCGTTATTATGCGGGCAGCGTGCCGTGTAGCAGGCCTTTCTAGAGCGATCGATGGTGCTCAGCTTTACGAGCAACTCGACTGTTATGGTTTGTGCTCCCGCTGCCGCAGCACTGAAAGCAAACTGACAGGCTATAAACGGCCGCTCGGACCATGGATACTGCCCGAAATAGCCGAAACGATCATGCGCTCTTTGTTTGATTGGATGGGCGCCACGTGCGCTTACAGTCACGACGCCATAACCCTAAATCATCATTCATGCTGAACTTCACGTCATAAAAACCCGCAAGTAGACCTACCACGGCCGTCGTGTTGGCTGACGGAACAGCGTGGTGGACTGGCTGCCCGTCCCGGAAGTGTCGACGTCACCGCCGGCATTCCCCCACATCTGGCAAGATACGGCGGACGGGGCGCGTGTGGTCCGAGAGGGCCGTTGTCAGAGGACTGGGTCATTCAGCCACCCAGGCAGGCCATCGTCAGAGGACCGGGTCATTCAGCCGCCCGAGCGGGCCATGACCAGAGGACCGGGTCATTCAGCCGCCCGAGCGGGCCATGACCAGAGGACTGGGTCATCCTGCCACCCAAGCGGGCAATTATCAGAGGTCTGGGTCATTCAGCCGCCCGGCCAGGCTGCAGACAGTGTTATGGCAGCGCTGGGTATTTGTGGCGGCCTTGCAACGATGGTTAGCGCTTGGTGCGATGGCGATCTTGTTTTTCACTTGCGTGGAGTGATCCGGGAAACAACATGTGTCGTGAATGGACGACACAAATCGTGAAGAATTGGCATTGTGTATTCTGGTGCATACATGCTAAGCGGACATAGCGTAGGGAAGGGTGCCGAACTCTAACTGGTTATGACGCAGTGCGAGAGAACGACAGCGTCTCTGACGTCCAATGGCTGTTGACAAGGCGACTTGGCACACACTTCATGCCTGCCCTGACAGGACGGGTCGATTATAATGCGCACTGAGACTGGGCCATCTCGCTCGGGACACCGCCGTGAATACGCCAGACTGGGCCATCCCGCTCCGGATACAGCCTCATAGATGCTAGACTGGGCCATCCCGCCCGAAACACCGCCGTGAAGACGCCAGACTGGGCCATCCCGCTCGGACACCGCCGCGAAGACGCCAGCCCTACGGCGGTGCTCGCGGGATCGCTATAAGGCAGACACCAGTAGTACGGCGGAGGTTTCGGAGTTTCGGACTGCGTTCGTCGAGGGCGAAGCAGTGGCCCTTCGTTGGAGCGAGGGGCCGGGTTTGAACGCCGCAGGAGCCGCACATGGGTAGTATGTGGGCGCCCGGCGTTAGCTGATAACCAAGTCAGTTTCATAAAAACAAACTGGCATCTTACGCACCCTTAATTCTTGTCATTCACGCGTGTGGAAAAACGGCAACGAACTATTTCCTCTCTCACTCTTCCTGAACATTACTGACTCAAACACCATGCTCACACCCTGCGATAAAACATGTCGTTAGGTTGCCATTTCGGTTCATGGAACCAATCGTCGTGATACGTTTGAATGGCGCAATTGTGCTACGGATGGCCTTGCATGCGGCCACCGGTCTGACCACGGCCATAGTAAGAGGTTTACGAGCAGCGCTATAACGCGGTGTCCATGTACCGCTGACGGACTCAGGAAGCCACAGCTTCCGACGCAGCCACTTATGCTCTAGCACTAGAAAAGTTTACACACTGGTAAGACGGCAAGTCAGGAGAGGCCTCGTCACTAACTCATGACACGCCCTCAGGTGGGGGTCAACTTGATCCCCCGAAGGTTTTTCCGGATTGGTTTCCAAACGGCGCGGCTTAGCTGCGCCAAATTTTGCATGACTGTGCACAGTTAATTAGCGGATCGCCTGGTATCAACAATTCAGATGGACCCTGTAAAGTTGCTGACCTATGGCAGGTCAAAGTCAGGCCATGGTTTCTGTGGAGGCAATTTCTAATGAATCGTTCAATCTGATCCAACAACGGAGTGTTAGACGAAGCCATAAATCTCTGTGATACTTTCTTGAGCAACACAACAATTGAATAAACAATTACAGTGACCTAGGATCAGGCATAAAGGTCAGATCGAGGCCAAAAACAACTTGTGTTTCGCTCTATGACTTACGGTATGGGGTAGTTTCTAGAACTAAATTCAAATTTATCAACAGGAACCGCCTTATGCACCTTGCATGAACCTCTTGAAGGGCGGAATAATTCACTGACCTAAAATTACCCAGATTGACATTTTTCTGTTAGGAACATAATACCTAGCGTAATCTTCGTCGTATATTCAAATGCAAAACTCAAAGCAATGTTGTCTGATTTTGGTCACCATGACCTTCAAAAGATCAAGCAACGTCACTGACCTTAAATGAACGTATGGCCTTTTGCCTAAAACAGTCATCTAGGTTCTAGAGACCCTTTGGAGACCAACCTGGAATTTGACCTTGTTTGACCTTATGTGACCCTAAGTCACGACCTAGGAATCTCAAACTTTGACCTAAGTGAGTTCAGGTACAGATCAACGCGCCCGATAAATTTGGTGGCTCGAGCTGTCTTAGTTCCTGAGACGTCAGGGGGCCAAATTGACCCCTACCCGAGCGAAGGGTATCCAACCGGCCACCCGGGCGCGTGTTAACCCCTCCGTGTCGCTTAAGCCTTGATTGTATGTGGTCGATAAAGTGGATTAACCATAAAAAGTAACTAGCTTCTGGGGAAATGAAAACATGTTTCCATTTAAAAGAGGCACAAGTGTTTTGTGCAGGAAAGAAGCCACCGACGGGGAGCCAACCCCTTCCATAATTTGTCAACCGGCACTGGACGCGCTGACACCTGTCAGTAAGCGGCATTCACCTGGTAATGTGATGTGCGGTGGAGCATCACGTCCACGGCCAAAATTGGTGCGGTGGCAGACATTGATTGGCCCATTGCCAGGGTAGGGCGCTCTGCGCCATGGTCTCGTTGTTTCCGCCTCACAACTATCAAGACGGTTAATGCTAAGGCCAGGTCACCGACCGATGCAGATCGCGTCGCGAAGCTTGGGCAAAGTGCCTGTCTGTAGCCTGCGGGCTGCGGCTCCGTCTTCCGTCCTTGTTTTGACCTACGTGTACGGACGGGCTGCGGAGTTGGGCCGAGCGGCCTCGGGCCGGCGCACGCACGGCCCGTCCTCCGCCAGGCCGCGCTGCGTGCGCTCCCGCCTGCCACCCGCTCCTTGCATTGTCGCCCGTGCGCTAAACAGGCGTGCAGCTCCCGAGGCCGGGACGGTCGAGCCCGTGCCGGCCTTGGCGGGCTCTCGGGACCGCCTACCATTGGCCACGGTCGGCCGGCGCGACGGCGGGCTCGGGGGTGGCGGGGGCACGCGGACCTGCTCCCGCCGGGACGCCCCGCTGAGGTCGTGACGGGCCGAGGCAATCCGGCAATGGGTGCCGGCGGCAGAGTGGGCGGTCAATCCGCCTTAGATGCGAGATATGCCAGAGCGGGGTCGTAGAGCGGAATGGAAGATGATTCAGAGTGAGCACTGGAACTTTCCGCCGTATTTGCTAATGGGGGCGCAGTTCCAATTTCACGTGGGATGGTGACTCGATGAATCGTGAACAGTCATGCCTGAACAGTCAGTGCTGAGAACGTGCCCCGCCTGAGCCATTGACGTAATATCCTGGGTATTGTCCAGCTGTTACCATAATGTGCAATATGAAGTTATGTTGAATGTTTTGGGGGAATGAACCAGAAACGGGTGGTCCTGCATCGGCGCTCTCCTTGAATGGATACATGAAATAGCGTTATTTTCTGTAGGAGAATTTTTCGAAAAACGGGTAGTGGCTACTCACTTCTCCACCAAGCCCATGACTGCCAGATGGACCAGCTTGTTGCTCAGTGACGAACAAACCAACACGGTCCTTCAAATATTGACTGCTGTGTTCTCCCATGAAGTGAAACGGAATAAAATATACATTCCATCAGACGAAACAAATATTCGGACCGTTGCTGGACCTGAAAATGTTCGGCGTGTAGCTATTGCATTTATTACAGTCTGAAAAGTTCACATCTCCGAGCTTCGAACCAACGATCTTGAAATGCTCTGACCAATACCAAAAACACTGAGCTCTAAAGTAACGCAATATTTTTCTCCTAGTGTACTTGTTACAATGGTGACCTGCAAAAACCGGAGGATTGAAGGTTCGAAGGTTGTAGCTGCTCCAAACTCGGGGCTGCGATACATGGATGGGACCATGGCGATAACCTAAGCACCCTCAGGTCCTGGTCAGAACCTGTGGAGGATCTGACCTGTTCAGGTCCGGCCGAGTGTTGTGTGAACGAGAACACTATTGCGAAGGTCAATAACTCTAATAAAACCCTTCGTAGCACACATTTTACAAACCTTTTTTGATCCCGGTAATTCTTTTTTAGCACGCGCCCGGGTGGCCGGTTGGATACCCTTCGCTCGGGCGGAGGGTCGATTTCTCTCCCCCTCCCCCCTGAGATCTCGGGAACTAAAACACTAGAGACACCAAATTAATAGAATGTGTTGACCTGTACGTGGACTCTCTTAGGTCAAAGCTTGAGGTTCCTAGGTCGCGACCTTTGGGTCAAATAATGTCAAAGAAGGTAAAATTCCAGATTGGTCTCCAAACGGCCCCTAGAACCTAGTCAACTGTTCAGATGAAAATGTAACACGCCCAGTTAAGGTCATTGATCTTGTTTGACCTTTCAAAACGCGCCCGGGTGGCCGGTTGGATACCCTTTGCTCGGGTGGAAGGGGTCAGTTTCTCTCCTCCCCCCCCCCCCATAGATCTCGGGAACTAAGAGAGCTGAGTAACCAAATGTATTTGGATAAGCGACATATATTACGCTAGGCAGAATTTTCCTAAAAACAAAACGTTGGCCTGGGTCATTTTAGGTCAGTGACCTATTCTGATTTATAAGAAGTCCATGAAAGGCGTATAATGCGGTTCCTGCAATCAACATATTCGAAAGGAGCACCAGAATCCAGCCCATACAGCAAGCCCCGAAGTAATAAAACAGGTTGGTTTTGACCTTGGTCTGACCTTCATGCCTGACCCTAGGTCAAGGCTATTTCTTTATTCAATTATTGTGTTGCCTAAGAAAGTATCTCAGAGATGTCTGGCTTTGTTTAGCGCTCCGTTATTTGATGGGATTGAACGATTCCCTAGAACGTGCCCTCGCTGAAGTCATGGCCTGATTTTGACCTGCCATAGGTCAGCGACTTTACAAGGTATGTCTAAATTTTTGATGTTAGACAATTTGCTATTCATTTGTCTACAGCTCTGCTGAATTTGGTGGGGCCACGCCTCGCCGTTCGGAAACCATTTTGGAAAACCCTTTGGGGGGTTAATTTTACACCCGCCCGAGCGCGTGTTAAGGAATCTGTACTTGGATACATTTATGAAAAAATTTCCGGCTTTCGCCCCAACATCCCCCCCACCCCACCCCTGCACATGTCCCTACCCACGCCCGTGTCCACTCCCTATTCCACGTCCACGCCCACGCCCATGCCCATACCCATGTCCATGCCCATGCCCATGCACACACCCACACCCACACCCACACCCACACCCACACCCACACCCACACCCACACCCACACCCACACCCACGCCCACTCCCACGCCCACGCCCACGCCCACACCCATACCCACACCCACACCCACACCCACGCCCATGCCCACACCCACGCCCCGCTCCAACTCCCACGCCCACACCCACGCCCACGCTTGCGCCCACGCCCCCGCCCCCGCTCCCGCTCCCGCTCCCACCCGCTCTTGCTCCGCTCCCAGTTTCTCCCAACCCATCCGCGCCCCTGACCCTTTTCCGTTACCATTTTCGTTTTTGCTTTTGTAGTCTCTCACTCTATCTTCCGCCTTTTCTCCCTCTCCTTCTCTATCCCTCTAACTCTCATCGCCTGCCGTTTGTCCACAGAGTCTGACGAAGCGCAGCAGCCGGCGGTGACACCATGGGCAACGTCGTCCCCAAGCTGACGCTGTACTTCAGTCGCGACCGCTTCGTCATCCACGTACACACAGGAGACCGCAAGGCGGCCGGCACCGACGCCAACGTCTACGTGCAGCTGCGCGACTCAGCTGGCCATGTGACTGCGCCTCGCCGTCTGGACCACTGGCTTTTCAACGACCTGGAGCGTGGCACCGTCTGCCAATACCCGTTCCCGGCCGACCCGGAGCTGAAGGACGTGGACAGCATCGTGCTGCGCCGCGACGGCGCCGGCCTCGGCGACGCCTGGTTCCTGGACCTGGTGGAGGTGGAGGACCGGCAGGTGCACTCTAAGTGGGTGTTCCCGGTGCACCGCTGGATCCAGACCAGCACCGAGTACCGGATCAAGCAGCATGGCATCAGTCTGCCGCAAGATGACGAGCCGGACATGCTGGCTAACCGCCAGGGGGAGCTCGCCAAAAAGCAAGAGGCGTACGAATACACTCAGCGTATCGAGGATGGACCAGCACAGGTGAGTTAAGCGACAGCAACAAGACATAGTGAAAGTTGAACTAAGCGGAGAGAAATCCAGGGGATGGACAAGGACAGGGGAGTTTTGCGGTTGCAACAGGAGACGAAAACAGGCGGGTTGGGCCCAGAGCGATGCACCTAAGACGTGCTAATATACAGGTGAATTTATCGACGGCTGCAGGGCATAGCAAAAGACACACAAAGGTCATCTGTGGTGCACGTAGTACGCTAAAAACAGTAAACAGAAGTTCAGGCACGGGTGAACTTGGCTGCGACAGCAGCAGCACGCAGAGGAAGGGCAACCTGGAGTGGGGTTATCTGTTTAAAAACCGTGGCTTACAGGGCAAATAGGTGGAATAAGCTACGGTAGCAGCGGTACACAGAGGAAGGGCAGACACAAGCGAGGCTAGATTTGTCCACAAAAGCTGCACACAGGAGAGGGGCAGACACAGGTGTGACGAGCTTGCATGCAGATGGACTGGAACCAGGTGTAGTTGCGGGGAATGTGGAATATTGCATGAAGTGTGGCATGCTATATGGGATGTGGAATGTTGCATGACGTGTGAAATGTGGAATGCATGGAATGTTGCATGTGATGCACAACACAATGGCATGACTGGTCTGGAGGCAGGGGATTTCTTCAACCCAACGGTCGGTAGTTCCATGGGAGGACGCTGGAGGACAACCGAGCATTGGCATTGAGGAATATGGAGCTGTGATTGCGTCAGTGCGAGGACCACAGATAACTGATATTGATTAGCAGCATTACTTAGATTAGTTCTCATGTGCCTACCTGCGCAAGGTACCTTGTTCACGGATAGTACATATTCATTTATACTAGTACAGTGAACAGAGATCTGTGAGACCGGAGACCAACGGGCATACGTCATCGTTGTATCCCGAATAGCACCATATATTCTTATATTGAAGACTGCTTTTTGGCCATTCCAAAAGATAATCAGACCTCCTTAAGGGGGGTTTTATATTACTTAACTGCACGCTAGAACAAATTGCAAACAACCTGCGTGGCGACGTTGTCATTCAGAATTCAGAGCGGTAGTGATGAATGTCACGGAACGGTGTCGGGAAGCTAACTAATCAGACAGTGGTGGGCTAGGGCTTTTGTAGCAGTCACAAGCCTCAACGTCGGTGGTCCAGCAGAGTCGGTGGTGACTTTTCTGTAGTTTTCTTTGAGATCATCTGCGCGGCACACCAGGATTGACTATTAATGATGTGCGCTAATGTGAAAGCCTTTGTCATGATGAGCTTAAATCAGCAGCTTTTCATCGATCTAACTCACGGCGACGTTTTTCGGTGTTGACGCTCCCACTTGGGCAGTGACGTGGCCAATTTGGTGACGCCAGTGGCGCCGATGTGTGACGGTTCGTGCCTATTCGCGAGCCGACCAAGGAGGCGGTAAGACAAACATATCGGATCCGGGCACGAAATAAGTAGCGAGGGGAGGCAGTGAGTCAGCCATAGTCAGCAAGCACCTGCTCCGAGACGGAGCGCGGATCTGTCTCGGCCATGACGGAAAGTGGATGCCCAAGGCGAGACTATGGACACTCCGACATCAGCACTCGTGAGAAGAGGCCCTTGCGCAAGCGATTGGTACGTCGTCTGCGCGCTGCCTGCTGCCTGGGCGGAGACGCCGTCGACTCTGAACCGTTGTCATCCGACTTCAGCAGGATCTTCCAGGTGCGCGTGTGGACGGGAGACCGCATCGGCGCCGGCACGGACTCCAACGTCTTCCTGCAGCTGGTTGACGCCAAAGGCCACACGTCGCTGCCTGTGAAGCTGGCCCGAAGCTTCCGCAACGTCAACGAGCGTGCCTCGAGCTGCACCGTCAGCCTGTGCGACCCCTTCTTAGGCCGGGTCACTCGCGTCAACCTGTGGCGAGATGCGTTCGGCCCGTTCGACGCCTGGCTGTTAGAATGTGTTGCGGTGACGACGCAGGGACAGCCGGCCACCATCTTTCCCGTGCATCGCTGGATCGGCGCCAACCGCATGTACTCCTTCTTTGAGTTCGACTCGCTGCTGCCACAGGACGACATCAACGGCAGTGCGAGAAGAATGGAACTGTCTGAGAAAAAACGCCGATATTCATACCTTCAGCGTATCTCGGATGGACCCGCACAGGTACTGGCACACCGATCCTCAGCGACCCCCCGCCCCCTTCTCCTCCCCCCTCTCCTGCTACATCCGCACGGGTAGCGTTGTGGTGACACGTCTAGCAGGCCGGTCCTGCTCCAGGCGGCACGAGTGCATAATTTTTCTTGCATATATGGCAACGGTTAAGGAATTACACGCCCTCAAGCAGCCACCTCAGTTCAGTGGCTAGTATTCGTAGCTTCCACTGTTTTAAACCCTTTGTGCTGCGAGGCGTTCTGGTGTGCTGTAGCGTTGTATACACGGACGATATTGATTTGCAAACACGCTCAATCTGCTGGGCCGATTGAAAGCCCATGTTATGAATAGTAATTGAACTTTGCCGTTTTGATCCCGGCACCCGTGGTAGTCGTATCTGTTCTTAAAGTGGATTGTGTCTACCAAGAAACATTTGTGGGTTACATATTTCTACGTAGTGCGCACGCTGCTACACGGTAGCATTCCTCCAGACACAGTCCATTTAATGTGCGCTTTGGGAAGCCTCTTACGATTTCTGAAACTGCAGAAGTTAGGAACACTAAATGAGCTTGGTAGCTGCATCCACAGGAACCCGCCCTGTGTACAATACTGTACAATGTTTGTCATAGGGAAATTTGTAGGGATCAGTCGGTGTCCGTTTTGTCCCTCTTCCACATACACGCCCAGTGGGCATGGTAACCTTATTCTGATATGGATCGTATCCTGCTTCCCGGTGGTTTGTAGCCCCTTGCCCTTCGCAGCCTTAGGGCTGTCGTTTGGGAGCCATGATTGTTTTTTTGTAGACATCAACTGCACCTTGAAATTCCAATACTTGAGCTGTCTACGTCATCGAAAGAGGAATCCAGAAATGTTTTTAAGCATGTCAGAAATAGTCATGGGCTGTTCATTTTCGCGCCGCCCACTGCCGTTTGACTATACTCAGCCTAAGTTTGACTGCTGCGTGTAATAATATAATGGATTGCGTTAGCATAGATCACATTTTGGTGATGAGTGGTGCATAAATTGCCAGGGGAGCATTCAGAACCAACAAGAGTGGGAGGCACTTTGCTTGGTTCGCAAAAAGTATAGTTATGTTCTGTCTTGGTACTTCGCTGTCCATATGAGCCGGGCTGAGCAGCTTACAGAGATAGTATTTTTGGATACGCTACGATACGGAGCCGGTATGGTAGTATTCCGAACCGAAGTCGTTGTTGCATTTTTCGCCGGGGTCGTAGACCGAAAGTGCAAAATTCAATAACGACCGAGGTTCTGAATGCTTTTCCGGCTAAGTGTGGTACGATTTTTACCACTCGCTAAGTCGCATGGGGCAACAAGTCGACCTATGTCGTTGACCCAAGTAAATTAATCACGTCCTAGATATTGGGTACCTTTTTTTGGAAGATGTGCTGAAATATAGATCGGCCAGTTTAAAAGGTCCGCAAGGGTGTATGCAGCCTTGACCAATGTAGCGTTTAGCAGGTCAAAAACCCCTGCCGCACGATCGCTCTAGTGTCAACGTCCTATGGTACACTGACGCAGCCAGGAATCCGTCCGGGAAGGGGCCAGATGGGATCATATGGCCTCTTTTCAGCCGAGCGTTATATCTTCTTCATCCGTTAGGTGGCTTTTTATGGTAGTTTTTTTCAGGTTTCGGACTGTATTTTAATGCGTTGGTAACTCGTCTTTGGATGTTTTGAGGGCCCTGCAAGCATTTTAACTGCCCCCCCCCCCCCCCAGCTGATGTATTTCGGCTCCAAGAAACCTCCACGGGATGGGGGGGGGGGGGGCGGTCAGCAATGCTCCAACTTTCCTTTTGGCTGCGCCGCTGCTGCGGCATGCGGTAAATTTCGCTGGTGAAGCTTAGCGAAGGCCTCTACTATTGAAATAGATGCAGGTGCACATACCATGCCCGGAAATAGCAAATTCGCACGCGCAGAGAGGACCACAGCCTATTGGACAGGTCAGAGCTGCGATGGGTGCCCATTTTGGGTTTAGCCGTCGGGGAACTGTGCCCTGATTTCTTGCTCTTTAACGTTCCATTCTCCATTCCCTTCACTTCATTTTGTATCGTTTTTCTAACATCGTTAGCGACGTCAATGATGCTCACCCAAAGGTGTATTCAGGTGAGGGGGGGGGGGGGGGCGGCAGCAAGCAATTCAAATCGAGGACATGTTTCCCTGCCGAGTTGTGGGGTTTTTCTAGCGTTCGTGGTACCATGATCTGTTCATTATCTGAACGTCACTTTCCACTTGTCTAGAAAACGTTATATGGACAGCGTCAGATGAAAGCAAGGAAATGCTATGCATCCTACCCTGATAAATGTTTGGAGTACACTGACACAAACTGTGTTGATAAGAGTCCCTGAATGATAATCAGACTGACTTCTCATATGGCTATCATGCACCCATGACTGGCAAAGGCATTGACCGGTGTATTCTCATGATGTTTCCGGTCTAAGCTAATTTACCAATAGTCCCATATCCGTTGTTATGGACATAGCATGACATAGTCGCTGGTGTTTTAACCTTCCCCGCTTAGAACATCCTTGCATATTTCAAGTCATGACAGGTCTCACCAGTTCGTTTTACTGTGCGTGGGCGTAAATGGCATTCGGATGCACCACAATCGCCGCACTGTCATAACCCGTATACAAAAACCAAACGCATGCCCTTATCTGGCGTTTTCTATGCTCAAATGGACAGAAATCATGCTACAGCACAGAATAAATACCACATGTAAACTTTCATATGGTCCACATTTTCCCTCTACCACTGTCCGTGTCCCACCTCATAACCATCTCCGCAACGCTTGTGTTATTGCGTGCAAGCAAGAGTAGCAATGCAACTTTGGGCAGGAATCTTTACCACTCAAGCC